CTCATCTTCTCCGTAACTGTCATGGGAATGTTTTCTGTTTCCACACTACACATGATGCTGGTTTGGGACCAGGAAAGATATATCTTCCCATGTTAAGGAAATATCTTCTCTCTCTCTCTCTCTCTCTCTCTCTCTCTCTCTCACACACACACACACACACACACACACACACACACACAGAGAGAGAGAGAGAGAGAGAGAGAGAGAGAGAGAGAGAGAGAGAGAGACGGAGTCTCGCACTGTCACGCAGACTGGAGTGCAGTGCAGTGGCATGATCTCCGCTCACTGCAACCTCCGCCTCCCGAGTATAAGTGATTCTCCTGCCTCAGCCTCCCGAGTAGCTGGGATTATAAGCGCCCTCCACCATGCCCTGCTAAATTTTTGTTTGTTTGTTTGTTTGTTTTTGAGACGGAGTCTCGCTCTGTCACCCCAGCTGGAGTGCCGTGGTGCTATCTCGGCTCACTGCAAGCTCCGCCTCCTGGGTTCACGCCATTCTCCTGCCTCAGCCTCCCCAGTAGCTGGGACTATAGACGCCCACCACCACGCCCGGCTAATTTTTTGTATTTTTAGTAGAGACAGAGTTTCACCATGTTAGGTAGGATGGTCTCCATCTCCTGACCTCGTGATCCGCCCACGTTAGCCTCCCAAAGTGCTGAGATTACAGGCGAGAGCCACGGAGCCTGGCTCTTTCTCATATTTATTGAATAATGTTGTTTGCTTTGTTAAAAGAGAGAACTGGTGTTGAAAGTTATCAAATGCCATTTTAGTATCTGTATAAATAATCATATGGTTTTTTTCTCCTTAGATTTGTTATTATAATGAAGTATATTACTAGATTTTCTAATATTAAACAGAATAAACCATATTGATTATGCTTTATTATTTAAAGTACTGCTGGATTTTGTTTGCTAATATGTTCTGCTTACTTTATGAAAATAATTTAGAAATTTTCATTCTTAGCCTATGCTTTGGAGCTGTTTAAGTAGCAATAGAATTATCAGTTCTTAAATATCTGTTTGTTTGTAGGGATGAAATCAAGCTGTTCTGATTTTCTGTGCCTCCTATTTGGGCTTTAAAAAAATGCTTTCTTCTGAGAAAATTACCCATTTCATCCACATTTTCAAATTAATTTGCATGGAATTGATTAGTCATGATTCTTTACAGTTCCTCTGTTTCTAAGGTGGATTCCCTTATCTGTCCTGATTCATCTGTTTGATTAGAGTCTTCCGTAGAAGTTTCCTCACGCAGGTACCTAAATGATATGTCCTCTGAATCTTTGTATATCTTCTCTGGAAAGAAGTGTATTTTGGCAGGGAGTAGTACTTTTGGGTCTCAGAGTTGCTGTCCTTTATGCCTATATTCTAGATGTTCTGTGGATGTCATTCTATAATCTTTTCTTTCCAGCGTTGTGTATAAGAAGTTCAATACTTTTTCCTTTGAAAACACCTTGTACTTTCTGTCTGGAAGATTGTAAGACTATTATTACACCCTTGGAGTTTAGGAACGACATTGGGATGACCTGATATAGTGAGCTTGCCAATCTGCAAAATAATTTATTTAGTAAGCTCTGGGGAATTTCTGTTTTCTTTTTGTTTATTATGGCTCCTTGTCTATATAACGCCCTTCTTTCAGGAATGCCCACTATTCATATATTAGATCTCCTAGATGAGTCGTTCAAAATTTTTATAGTTTCTTCATGCTTTCCAAATATCTATAAAATTGTCTTCCAAGCCACAAATTCTGGCCTCATCGGTGGCCATCTTTTCTTCAATTTATCTAAGACATTTTGTATATTTAAAAAAAAAAAAACCATTGAGTTTTAGAATAAAAAGTTGCCTGTGCTGTAATCAGATATCTGTAAGTGTTCCTATATTTTTACCAAGAGTGAGGAATGGAGAGTTCAAGCTATTATTTGCTTCCTCCTCAGTTCTTTTCACTAGATGATACCTAATCTAGTTTTCCACTTGTTTTCCTTCTCTAGGGCTACTGGGTTTCTTATATGGATTTTTATTTTTTCTTGCATATTCTTTGGGGTTTGGACCCAGCTGCCAGGTCACCTTAAAAGGAACAAAGTTCTAGATGGAAAGCATGGTGAGCTCCAGCCAAGTTGTCATCCCCTGCTGATGCACCAGGAGGTAGTCTCCTCTCTCTCTCTCTGTCTCTCATTCAGTGACCCAACCTGCCTTTTCTTCTCTCTGTCTTTTTCAGTAACTTTAGAGGTTTTTACTTACATGGATGAATTATATAGTGGTGAAGTCTGGGTTATTGATGTATCCATTACCCAAATAGTGTACATTGTACCTAATAGGTGATTGTTTTAATCCCTTACCCTCCTCCCAGCCTCCCCACTTCTGAGTCTTTCAACATTCCTTACACCACTGTGTATGCCTTTGCCTACCCATAGCTTGGCTCTCACTTATAAATGAGAACATGCAATATTTGGTTTTCTGTTCCTGAGTTACTTCATCTAGGATAATGGCCTCCACAGCTCCATCCAAGTTGCTGCAAAATACATTATTATTATTATTATTATTATTATTATTATTATTATTATTTTGAGACTGAGTCTCCCTGTGTCACCCAGGCTGGAGTGCAGTGGCGCGCTCTCCACTCACCGCAAGCTCCGCCTCCCGGGTTCACGTCATTATGGTTGAGTAGTATTCCATGGTGTATATATATGCCACATTTTTCTTATGCATTCATCAGTCTGTGGGCACTTAGGTTGGTTCCATGTCTTTGCAATTGTAAACTGTGTTGTGATAAACATATGAATGCAGTCTTTTATATATAATGACTTCTTTTCCTTTGAGTAGATACCCAGCAGTGGGATTGCTAAATCGAATTGCATTTTTAAAAAGTCAAAAAACAACAGATGTTGTGAAATGGAAACGTTTATACTCTGTTGGTAGCAATGTAAATTAGCACAATATCTATGGAAAACAGTATGGTGATTTCTCAACCCACCTTTTTAACTTTCCCACATCCCCTTAAAGGACTGAGATGACGAGTTCCTCCAGACAATCACACAGGTGGTAATATGCTTCCTTCTTTAGTAGGCCCAACAGCCCCTTCACCCAGCTATCTTCTTGGATCCCGCTGTTCTAATCCCCACCCAAGGACTCCATGCCACCAGTCCCTAGGTTCTCTCTAGTGGCTGAGGGGGGAAAGAAAATCCCATGATGCCATTGTCCACTGGATCAAGGCAGAGCTGAGAACTCACATTCCCCAGATACTACTTCCTGCTGGACTTAGGAGAGGTAACTCATGGTTGAATTGGAATTGGAAAGGAAGAAGTCTGGGTTGAATTTAAGCTGTCATATTGCCACTAACCATTTCAACTGAGACAGGAGTTTTGTATTCTAAACTCCATGAATGGGATCCATGATGTCCTGAAATTGCCATTGAATCCTATCTATCTATCTATCTATCTATCTATCTATCTATCTATCTATCTATATTTTTCTGTGGATTTTATTGGCAGGTTTTAATCAAATTCTCAAAGAGATATTTAGAATCAGTCTTACAGAATCATACCCAAACTTGATAAAATCCCCAATATGCCAATTAGTCCGCTGTAGATAATATTCTAAGTCCAATAGTAAAGAGGGTCTCAGTCTTTCAAACACTGGTGATTATATCTGGAAGTCAGTTTAAAGCAGTAAAATTAAGATAGTTTTGTTTTCCTTTTTAAAAGCGGGAAGCGGAATGGGGAAGAATAGCTTAAAATTTCTTACATTCTGGCAAGGACAAGTTGATGGTGACCCTTTGGCACCTGGCATTCAACTTCCAAATATCAAATATATTATTTTCTATCTCTTGAAAAGGTATTACTGGCTTTAATCAAAAGTAGGTCAGCATGATGTCCACTACAAAGAGCTTATGTGGTTACCTTTGAAACACTAGCCCCAGCAATTCTAGTGGAAAAAAGATTTTATGCTTTTTTATTTGAGGTGAACCTAAATAGAAAATGAATTGAGAAAGATCTTCTTTGTCTCCAGCTGGTAGAGAAAAATGTGGTCGTAAAATATGCCTTAAATTATTTTTAGATTTTTAAAATATATCCGTACATTCTTTTTATGCAAGTTACTCTTTTTTATATATACTTTAAGTTCTAGGGTACATGTGCACAACGTGCAGGTTTGTGACCTATGTATACATGTGCCATGTTGGTGTGCTGCACCCATCAACTCAGCAAGTTATACTCTTACACATAATGATAACCCAGCTAGAACACTGCCAGGTGGGAGCAGAGTGGCAAGAGGAAGAGATTAGGCCATCAGCGTAGGGCCTTCATGCTGAAGGCCTGAGGACAGACCCTTCTACTACAATCTACAGTTCCCTACACATTCCCCTTAAATTAACTAAAGTGCACTCTCATAAGTATAAAGATATAAAAGCATTATCAAGAATTTATATAGTCCTAAGACTTTTACCCATATATTAGCTATAATAATATTAGCTATAATCAAAGGATATGAATAAAAGCTTGCCAAATTTTCTAAAAGAAATATGCAGTTTTTAATGTCTTACTCATGTAATGGCTATATATAAACTTAGTCTTTCATTATACTTCATCTCTTCGCACTACCTGTTATCCTTTTAACAAATATGTGCTCAATTATTATTACTTGCTGTGCGATTGTTGTTGTTAAGTAGCACATAGCCAAAGCCATGTCCAGGTACCTAGAATTCAGCCATCCCCCAATTTAACCAAGGAATGAACATTAGTAGATACAATAAGAATAAATTGCATCGGTGACTTCAGCTATCACTAAATGATCCAGAGCTTAAGTCCACTAAAGCCAGATGCACCCATTCTTTCAATGCAGCTACTACCAAATCATCAGAAATAGCACTCCACATGAGACCTGCATACCACCCTAATTTAAAGCAATGCCACCTTACCGCCTTTTTGCTGGGAATTTTTCCTCTAGCTCCCAGGTGGTATTCAAAATGATTTCCTAAACTTTATTTAACCGTGCTGTGTTTATTGATTTCAGATGGCTATACCACTGATGACATAGAGTTTTACTGGAATGGAGGAGAGGGGGCAGTAACTGGTGTTAATAAAATCGAACTTCCTCAATTTTCAATTGTTGACTACAAGATGGTGTCTAAGAAGGTGGAGTTCACGACAGGTGAGGTTGTTTCCCCCAAAAGATACTAGAGGTGCTGTGAAAGGAAGAAGATGGTTCCAACCAAATGATGGTCTGATTACTTGTCTTTTGTTTCTCAACTCAGGAGCATATCCACGACTGTCACTAAGTTTTCGTCTAAAGAGAAACATTGGTTACTTCATTTTGCAAACCTACATGCCTTCTACACTGATTACAATTCTGTCATGGGTGTCTTTTTGGATCAACTATGATGCATCTGCAGCGAGAGTCGCACTAGGTAATACATTCTCAGCACTGCAGAGAACTAACAGGTTTTATTTTCAAACAAATAACCAATATCAGGAATTAGAGGGAAGGGCTCTCTTATAGCAAGCCAAAGAATTAGATCATCATAAGAGTCCCTGAATATAAGACATCTAAATGTAAGCATGTCTACAATGAATATTCTACAATGTACTGTCTTATTAGCATTTTACCAAAACAAACAAACAAAAATCTTGGACTATATCTAGCACTACTTAAGTGTCTCATGGAATATATTTTTAAATTCTCATTACGCTAATTTTTACTAACTTTGGGATGACTTCCTCTTTAATCCCTGCTTTTAACAGTGAAGAACATACACAATGCACTATTTTCAAATGAATTTGGAGAAAGTAAACCACGTGACTAACAACAAGCTGTCAATTGCTGAGAAATACTATCCTTTGGATACTAACTAAAATTCAATCGTATTAAGCCGAGTCTCCTTTAAATGGAGTTTATTACACTTGAATAAGGCACAGATAATTCATCAGCTATATTAATAATCTGTGGTCAAGACAGAATAAAAATGATTTCCTTCTTGGGGGAACAAAATTTAGAACTAATCCTGCCATGGTTAATTAATTGCTGAAAGCTGATGGGCTATGTTTGAGACTTTAAAGCATTCCTTGGAAGGTTAGGATGTGTAAGGTCTGTCTGCTGAATCTGGGGATGTGCAAGTCTGTGTCACTGTCTGATCCTACAGCCATTTCAGTTATTTCTTTCTGGGGCAAATTCTCTCTCACACACATACACTCACACACATAACATTTCTGGCTAAGCTAACATATTTCATCTCTTCATTTCGGAGACTATTAAGCTGGACTAGATGATCAGCATACCTGTTCACAGCTACACTAATTGCCATCACTACAGCTTACTTGTAATGACTGAATACATAAAGCTCACAAAGTCAAGTGTTTGTTTGTAGCACTTTATCAATCTTTGAACAACCTAAGATTAAAGAAAGCAAACAAATAATAGTATCACACGTATGTATCTGCATATATTACTTGAACGTGAGTATTGTTATGTCTATATGCTACACTTAAGAAAAAAACAGTGGATGGTGTCCACAGCAGAGAATAATAACTAGTAAGTTTATGAATTGTGGTTTTCTTTACTCTTCTATCCTCAAAGCTAATACTATTTTAATTAGAGATATTAGAGATGTTAGTATATAAAGGTGCTTGTTTAAGCTATTCTTTGGACTGTAAAACTTGAGATATTTTAAAACATGTAATTTAAAATGGCATCCATTTACTAACACTTTTTGTATAAAAATGTAAAACAAGGAGTAGAAGCAGAAATGCAACTGGCGAATTTGTAAGTGACTCATTCATTTCTGTGAAGCACATTAGCTAGAGTTATATCAGGTGAAATTTAAAGATTTTTTTAAAGAAATAAGAAAGACCACTCATTATAGCATTTTATATCAGCCCAGCACATTAGAATTTATTACTGATCTGAACCAATTTAATTTTTTGTCTGGCAGTCCTGACCTCCTGCTTTATCTGTTCTTCTAAAAGTTGAATAGTCAAATCCGGGAATATACATCTAGAATAATCTGATTGGCAAATGAATGCGAAACTATTTTTTCCTTCATTTCATTTTGCTACCTCCCATTCCCTTTGGAAGTTTTCCTTTGTCTTTACTATCTATTCCATACTTTCTGACTTTATTTTTAAGAGCCTCTATCAAATTTTCGATTTTACCTTTTCATCTCATTGCTTATTGTAAATGCTATTGTGTAACATTTCTGTGCTCTTTTGACCCTCACTGGGTGGCCTAAAACAAAATAACTAATCTCAGATTTTCTGTTTACCGAGTTATAAAATGAGAATAATATACACTTCCTATCATTTTCAGGCTGTTATGACAGCCATATAGGATAATTTATAACTGTAATTATTTAAAAATGTACAACACTATACAAATGTATATTAGTATGCAGAACAAATATCTACACTAGATTCTGACTTCTTTTTCACTTCTTGCTTTCCGCAGTTATCACTTCGTCATCACCATCATCACCACAAAATATGTTATACAGCTAAGCAAACGTTATACTATTAAGAATGCTATATTTAATAAAGTAAATAAAACACAATCTGTCCTTTATGAGCTTATAGTCTTAAACTTCTTTAACAAATCCAAGCTCAAACTTTTAAGAAGTTGTTTTCTGACATCACGGAACTAATTCATGCTAGGTTCTGGAACCAAGAAAATAGATAATATTTGAAATATCAAAGTAACAAGATAATAGTAAATGTAAAATATACATAAATCAAGCACTTGATACAAATTATGACATTTCTCATGTTTCCTCTTTTGGTGATGTTTTGCTATGAATTACACATAATTATTTTAAAATGCAATACTGACCTTGTAATTTGGGTGTCCTGTTGATTCATGGAATGAAGTAGATCTCAAACTGGTCAGCAGCTTTCAATTTGGTAGAGGATGCTATAGGGATTAGTATCACAAAGACAAATTTAGGAGCACAATGAATGAGATGCTGAGAAAAGGAAGAAGAAAAATGTGGTCACATAATAAAGTGAGTGACATTCAATAGTAGGATTTCAATGGGATTTTGATCTGCTTTTCCATCTGCTTTTGTTTTTATTTTGTGCAATTAAAAAACATGTTTTCAACCCTTCATTAACTACACATTCTATTTTATGATTCATTAATGGACTATGTAGGGAGGCTAATGCCTTGTCTTTCAAAATATCTGCCCTTTTTGCCCAGTGGTTTATCATGCTACTGTGATCACTCAGGGGCATGAATAAGGAAATGGCAAATGGCATCTGTCCTCTCAATCTTGAAAAAGGAACTTAATAGTGGTGCCTTTAGCTAAGCGTTGTTTTTCTCTTTCACAGGAATCACGACAGTGCTTACAATGACAACCATCAGCACCCACCTCAGGGAGACCTTGCCAAAGATCCCTTATGTCAAAGCGATTGATATTTATCTGATGGGTTGCTTTGTGTTTGTGTTCCTGGCTCTGCTGGAGTATGCCTTTGTAAATTACATCTTCTTCGGGAAAGGCCCTCAGAAAAAGGGAGCTAGCAAACAAGACCAGAGTGCCAATGAGAAGAACAAATTGGAGATGAATAAAGTCCAGGTAAGATATTAAATATTCCTAACAATATTCTTGTTAAATTTATCAGCATCATGATGCCCAGGGCTCTCATAACTTCAAAACAATTAATAAAATATTAGTTTATCTTTAATAAGACTCAACCAAGCCTTCATTTTACATATTCAGGGATTAAGGAATGAAGAAGTTAGATTGTGGGTTATATTGATTAGTAATATACCCTGGAACTCAACCCCAAGTCCATTATTGTTTATTCTAAACCATTTGTAAAAGTATATGTAAAGTAATCATGCTAGATTTGTGTGGTAAATACATGAGAGAACTGAAGTGAATACACTTTGCACTCCTAAATGCAGATGAGGCACAGTGGCCATAACCACAGACTGAAATCAAACTGCCTGGTTTTCATTCCCAGTTTAGTCACCTACTGGCTTTACAACTTCAGCCAAATCAACCTACTTAAGTCTTTATCTAGCCTTTTCTCTCAGTGTCCTCATCCATAAAATGGAGATTATTATAGTATGTCTATCTCACAGAGTTGTTGTAAGAACTGAGTTTTTCTCATTGGTACATCTTCTAACCTGTGATCTCATTGGATGGAATTAAATTTAAACGAATGATCTGTTTATTCTTTTTTTTTTTTTTTTTTTTTTTGAGATGGAGTCTTGCTCTGTTGCCCAGCCTGGAGTGCAGTGGCATGATCTTGGCTAACTGCAAGCTCCGCCTCCTGGGTTCACGCCATTCTCCTGCCTCAGCCTCCTGAGAGCTGGGACTACAGGCGCCCACCGCCACGCCTGGCTAACTTTTTGTATTTTTTTAGTAGAGACGGGGTTTCATCGTGTTAGCCAGGATGATTTCGATCTGACCCCGTGATCCTCCCGCCTCAGCCTCTCGAAGGGCTGGAATTACAGGTGTGAGCCACTGTGCCCGGCCCTGTTTATTCTTTAAAAACATCTCTGTAGCCTCTACCTCTGAGCCATTTTTCACTGAAATCAATTTACCGTTAAGGACATTGACGTGTATCTATCTCAAATTGTTTTCAAGATAGCACACAGGGTGACAACTGTTCATTTAGGCACTGATCTAGGCATTTGGGATACTGATGTGAATGAGACAAAATTCCTTACCCTCATGGACCTTAGGTTCTAACATGAGAAGATAGGCAATAAACACAAACAAATAGTAAGAGGATACTTTTAGTTACTAGTAAGTGCTAAAAAGAAAGTAAAACAGTGACTCATATCTGTAATCCCAGCACTTTGGGAGGCTGAGGCAGGTAGATCACTGGAGCCTAGGAGTTTGAGACCAGCCTGGGCAACATGGCAAAACCTTGTCTCTACAAAAAATATAAAAATTAGCCAGGCATTTTGGTGTTTGCCTGTAGTCCCAGCTACTTGGGAGGCTGAGACGGGAGGATTGCTTAAACCCGGAAGGCAAATGTTGCAGTGAATAGAGACTGCGCCGCTGCACCCAGTCTGGGTGACAGAGTGAGACTCTGTCTTAAAATAATAATAATATAAAAAAGGAAAACAGAGTACTGAACAAGAGAGTATTTGGGTCAGATTTAAGGGAGCAGGATACTTTGGTAAGACCTCTCTGTGGAATGACCATTTGATCTGAGACCTATGTGACGAGAAACAGCTAACCATGCCATGTCCATTCTAGGTAAACGAAATAGCAAGTGCACAGGCTCTGAAGCAGGAATTCCTGTGTGTTTAAATACTGAGAGAAGACCAGTAGAGCAAGAGCAGAGTTAGTGAGGGAGAAAGCAGAATAGTGTGAAATGTGGTTGGATAGTTAAGCTTAGGCCAAATTATAAATTTTCAGGGTGTATCTTCATGCTCTTTAGTATGACGAAAGTTTGGACAAACACTGTTTGAAAAATTAGCAAAGAAAACTTAAGAGATTCAGCCAAGTGGTTAAAATGCAAAGGAACACATCAAATAAACTTCTATCTTTGTGTGAGGCACTATGTTCAGTGCTATGGGAAGAGAAGTAGACAAGATATTTGCCCTCAAGAATCTTCTGATCTTGTTGTGATAAGAATATTATACTCATATGAGGTGATTATAAAATGAGACAGGACACAGTTAGTTTGAGTTGTATACCTGAAAAGAAGCAGCTTCCCAATGTCTGCTTGTAACCATACCAGCTTTAAAAGTATTTTGGGAGGCCACCTCTTTTCTATTCCCATCCTCATCTCAGTTGCCTTCCAAACATACTAGTTCATCCTCTGCACATCTTGGAATGTGTGTTAATTGATAAGTCACGAGGGAAAACCCTACCCAAAGGAGGTGGATTAGGTTCAGTGCTCGGAAAATTCAGAAGGCATGAACTGAATGGATACTCAAAGATAAGTAGAATTTAGGAAAGTATAATGAAGAAAGCAGGGCCCTTCAGTTGCTAAAAAGCAATGTTCTCTAGGGAGAGTAATTAAATTGAAACAGGAGAGTTCCCTGATCCGCTCATCTGTTGGGCTGCCACGCACTCGAACCCTATGGGAGGGGGAGCATGAAGACGGACAGGTGTGGGAGCCAGGGCCGGCACTTTTGGGTTCTGGCCCCATGGTAGCATCTAGAGATGGGTGCCTGCGATTCCTGAAGCCCCAGTAGGTGTGTTACAGTGCTCCTTTAGCTCTGCCATCTGCAGATAGCTTAAGTGTTAACCAGCTCAGTGCCTCTTTGGTACCCAGGTTCTTGTCTGGAGTCCAGGAAGAATCAGGTCATACGGACAAGTTGAAGGATGGTAAATGTGGAGGATCTTATTGCTGGATGGAGGTGGCTCTCAGTGAGATGAATGGGGAGCTGGAAAGGGGCTGGAGTGTTTCCACAGAAAAATAGACATAATTATGACAAAATTGAAAAACAAATCATATTGAAACAGGGCAGAATACTTTTTATCAGACTCATCCTCCTGTTGATACAAATAATAAACTGTGAGCACATGTTTAGAAATCTGCTTTAAGACATGGGAGAGTAACAAAACAAGCAAAAGATAAAAGAGAATCAACCTTCAAAAGAAAGGAACCACACTGTGTGAAATCCATGTTTATACAGCTTTTCCCCTGAAGCCATGCCCCAGGCTGACGAATGTGGGGCGGCAAAACTTCTGTAGAAACTGACATTTTATTGGCCTGAGGAGTCAGATCATGGAGTTTGATTCTTCCAGAGTTCCTGGAAATTTCAGAAGTGAGCCATAGCAGAAACTCGACACCTGAGTGTAAACATCCACAGCTTGATCCCTGAACTACAAATGTACAGGTTAAATACCAAGGAGTGCAGAAAGAAAAAATAGCTAGAAGCTGGGGGAAAGAAAAATGAACTGAAATTTTAGTTACTGTCCACCATATAAAAGTCAGAGTTTGGAGTTTGAGTCCAGCCTGTTGGGGAGTGTGGGGGTGGTAAGCACATTAGGTTTTCCATAAAAATCTCAAGAGGCTTATACCTTAAGAGTAAAGGATAAGTCACAAGAATAAGGGATTCCCCTTGGGTTAAGGGAAAACCTAAAACAGGCTCACCCTAATGACACATAAAACCAATTCTCCACATATTCTGGGTGATATGTTAGTCATATAACTGCCTACCAAACCGAACTCAACATTCTTTGGGGGAGATAGCAGAATCTAGAGTCTCTATGGTACATCATTCAAAATATCTAATATATAGTAAAATATTACTAGACATGAGAAGAAACAGGAAAATGTGATCATTATTAAGAGAAAAACATTTGTCAATAGAAACAGAGCAGTAAAAGTCTCAAATGTCGGCCTAAAAGATAATTAGTATAAATAACTATAATTAATGTATTTAAAAGTTCATAAGAAATAGCCCAAAACTGGAAACAGCCAAAATATCCTACAATAGATGAATGGTTAAACAAACTGTGGTATATTCATACTATGGAGTACTAGTCCAATAAAAAAGAAATGAGCTATTGATACACACAAAAACTTGGATGTCTCTCAAGGGCATTAGATTGAGTGAAAAAAGCCAGTATTAGAAGGTTATAATACTGTATTATTCCATTTATATAACACTCTTGAAATAACAAAATTATAGAGATGAAGAACAGATTCGTGGGTGCCAGGAGTTAGTGATAGTGGGGAAGGATGTGGATGGTTGTGACTGATTATAAAGAAGTAGTGTGAGGGAGATCATTGCAGTGATGGAATAGTTCTGTAACTTAATTGGAATGCTTGTTACATGAATCTATATATCCAATAAAATTACACAGAACTGTACACACTTTATGTCAATGTCACTTTCCTGATTTTCATATTATATCATAGTTATTTAAGATGTAATCAGTTGGAGAATCTGAGTAGGGGAGTACATGGGGCCCCTCTGCGCTATCTTCACAACTTTCTGGGAATCTATAATAATTTCCAAATAAAAAGTTTCAAATAAAGTCCATAGGAAAAATTGATATGGTATATGAAGAAATGGGGAGTTTCAGAAGATAACTGAAAGTATAAAAGTGGGACAATGGAAATCACAGAATTTAAATTTTTATTAGATGAATTAACATCACATTGTATACAACAGAAAAAAGGATTAGCGAAATTGAAGGTCATATTGGGTTTTTCTCAATTTCTCAATTGTAGCAGTTCTTACCATAAATGCTACTACTTTGGGGTTGCCTTAACAGATACCCTTACTCTTGATTTATTATTTGGTGTCTTTGTTAATTGTTCTCATGGGATCCTGTGCTTTTCCACTATAGGACTTCCATGATAGTTAGTATATGTTTGTTTGTATAATTATATTTTAAAATCTGTTTCTCTTATTAAGCTACAGCTTCCCAATTATACACCCCAGAGCCCTTGTCTATTACATTTATTGTTCTTTCCTTAGTAGCTAAAAGGTAGATACCAAATAAGTACTTGTTAAATGAATGAATGAATTAATTGATAAATACTGGAGAGTTGTTCTCCATTTAAGATGTTTTTAGAAACCACACAAAGCATTCAGTGTTACATTATGTTTTATAAAATTCTTACATATTCATAATAAGTAAGAAAAAGA